AAAGAGATAAAAAAAAATTTATTTTATTTATTGCAAAACTTTTAATGGCTCCACTTTTCTTTCGTTATAACTCATATGGAACTGGATGTCGAACAATTTCAACATAATTATCAAATATTTTGGTTTTCACAAAGTCGTGACAATAAAAGTTGAATTCAATTAGTTTATGCTACAAAATTATTTATTAAATGCATTAGTTGTAAAATTATCAAGTGCTTAGTGAAGATGAGAATTTAAGTTCATCTCAAATTTAAACTATTGAAATTTTGATTTTAGAGAAATTGGAAATTCTTCTTATAAAAACGATCTTGATTACGCCCAAAGTATAACGCGATGATTGTAGTACAACTTTGGGGTGTCGTATCCAAAGAGAGATGGAAATTTTCTCAAAAAATCAAACAAATTAGGGTTTTCGTAATTTTATGTGGGAATGATTTGTCACTTGGAATAAAAATTAATTATTAATATGCGACATAAGTGAAGCGTCGGAATTCCCCCAATGGATTGGATCAATCGACATCAATAATTCATGTATTTTTCCTCAATTAGAGATTTTCTTCCCAACTCTCTAATCGGAAGATTTAACAATAAAGTCCAATTTAATTCCAATTATATTGCTAGAATCTAGATTTCCTATAACACATTCGCACATTTTTTTATTGGAACAAGATCAAAGATTGACCATATACATCAAGCATAAGGCAGTAATCAATTCGCCAATAAAGTAATATTAAGATTAAAATTCAACAATTATTTCAATCATTTGATAGAAGGAACATGGCTAGATCTATGAATGATTTGATAAAAGTTAAAATAATCTCAACAATAAATAATTCAAATTGTAATTCGACAAGTATTTCGAATATTCGATAGAGAAAGCATGACTGAATCTATGGAAATTCTAATAATTGTTAAACTAATGTCAAAAACATATTCAAGATATGGAAATTCGATTCTAAAATTGTTTAATAATGAAAAACTCAATTACATGAATTAAAGATGTCGAAATCACCAAAATCGATTGAGATCCTTCGTTGCTTCATCAAGTTCCTTAGTTTTCCATGGAGTTTCTTGAGCATCAAGATGAAAGAAATAGGTCTGGAGGCGTCTGCCTTCGTTTTGGGTGGTTTTGAGCATTTATATCCCGTGAAAATTAAGTTACCATAAGAGATTCAATCGTATAAGGAAATTGAGATTCGGCCGCCCAAAAAAACACTATGCGACCGCATGGTTATTGTCATTGTGGTCGCATGGTTATACACTTTTAGCCTCTTCAATTCTCGGTATAGGTGTGTGCGACCACATAGTAGAAAGGCATGCGACCGCATGGTTTCACCAGACAGCTTTTAGTGTTTTAATCATAACTTTCTTTCTCGATGTCCAATTGAGGTGATTCAAGTTGCATTGCATAGCTAACTCAGAGGGCCACAATTTTTATTCAGAAGTCATCTCCCAATTCGATCATCTTCCATGTCAAAAAGAGTCCCAACATGAGACTAAAAACTGGTGTGTTAGTTTTCGATTGGAAATTGATGTATTGATCAAACTTTGACGTTATTTCATCCATTTGACTTCTTTCCTCATCCACTTGACCTCTAACAATTTTGAATCTTCATCATAATCTTAGACACAAGTTTGGATCATTTGCACTTTAGTCCCCGAACTTTCGTTCTCTTCTACTTTGGTCATTTTTTACTTGTTTCTTCTGAATTTCATCTTTTTCACCAAAATGCAACCTAAACCAAAATATAAGAGTAATGAGTGCATTTTGGCATAGTATAATCACATGAATGCAATAGTTAAGCGGGGGAAATATGGTATTTTACACTCTTATCAGATCTCAAAATATGTAAATACTCTTCTATTTAGTTTGTAAATGATATGGAAAAATTATCAAATAATATTGTTTCAATCTCCTTTTTTTTTTTTTTTTTTTGGGGATCCCCATTTAATTATATCACCCTGTATTATATTTCGTCAAAACAAATTCCATCCATCTTTTCACATGTTCTATATCAATATTGACGAATTAAAATTACATGAAATATTTAAGTTTATTAAATACATAGTTACAAAAAATGCATGTGCATCGCACGTGCTTCACACTAGTTGTGCTTTAATTATCATTCCCTTTAACCAATATTGTTAAAATTGAATTAGAATGAATAACACATTTTGATTTACATGGAAAAATCAAGATAAATGTTGTGTGCATTAGTATTCGTGTACAAAAAATTTAAAAAAATATTGACAATCTCCAATTGCGTACCCTTAGTAATTATATATTTATTTTGAGCAGTACACTCATATGGAATCGAAAATGAGATAAATTTAATTTATTTCATTTATTACAAAACTTTTAGTGGCTCTATTTTTCTTTTGTTATAATTAATATGAATTGAATGTCGAATAATTTTAAAATAATTATTAATTCACACAGTCGTGACCATAAAAATTGAATTCATTTATTTTATGCTATAAAATTATTTATTACATGCATTAGTAGTAAAATTATCGAGCGCTTTGTGAAGATGGGAATTTAAGTTCATTTCACATTCAAACTATTAAAAATTTGATTTTAGAGAAATTGGATATTCTTCTTATGAAAACTATCTCAAATATCTAAATATTCTTTTATTTTAATGTAGATGGTATGGAAAAACTTTCAAACATTACCAAATAATATTGTTTCAATCTTACTTGTTTACTTTTTTCGGATACCTATTTAATTATCTCATCATTTAATATATTTCCTCAAAAAAAAAAAAAATCGTTCACCTTTTCACATGGTTTATATCAATTTCGACGAATTAAAAATTGCATGAACTGTTTAATTACTCTATTAAATACATGATTACAAAGAATGCAAGTGTATCGCACTCGCTTCACACTAGTTACAATAATTAGGAGTGACAAGTTTTGGCTTAAATTTTCATTGTCTTTTTTTCCATTTATTGTGGAACTTTAAAATGACTTGATATTTTATTTATTTTAACTCGTATGAAATTGAATGCAAGAAAATTTTAAAATATTATCAAGTGTTTCAAATTTCACAAAGTCACAACAATAGAAAATAAATAAATTATTTTTGCTATAAAATTTATTTATTAGACATATTAGTTGTATCATCTATTGCTTTGTAAAGCTGAGAATTTAAGTTTATATCTAACTCAAACAATTAAAATTTTGATATAGTAATATTGAACAATATTCTTATGAAGACGATCACAAAATTTGTAAATATTCTATTATTTTAATTTTTAAATGTGTCTTAATGTTGTTCGAACATTAACGAATAATATTTTGAATACATACTTCAAATATGAGAACTTTGTAATAAGCGAGAAGTTTTGGGCTTCGATTTCCTTTGCTACTAGTGTTGTTAAAATCAAATCACAATGAACCAGGCATTTACACGGAAAGATCAAGAAAAAATGCCGCATACATATACAAGGGGGGAAAAAAGGAATAAAAAGAAAAAACACACACTAATCTCCAACTAACTAAGTACCCTTACATATAATTAGTTCGATTGATCCAATCATTAAACAAGTTTTTATAATTGGAACAATTAATTTTAACCCTAAATGGTGTCTTTAATAGATTGAAAAGGAGATAAGAAATTATTTTCCGAACTTTAAATGACTCGATTGTCATTTGTTTAAACTCATATGGAATTAAAGAGTATTTCAAAATTGCACAAAGTCATGAAAGTAAAAAAGGTAAATTTTATTATTTTTTGCTATAAATTCGTTTTTATTAAATGCATTAGCTATAAATTATCAAGCGATTAGTGACGATGAGAATTTAAAATTCATTTTCAATTCAAATTATTTAAAATTTAATCCAGAGATATCAGATATTTTTCTTATTGAAATGAGCTCAAAATATATATAGATATTTTTCTGTTTTAATTTTTAGATAGTATTTTAAAATTGTTCGAACATTACTTGAAGATGGTCACATTAAAGAGGTGATATACTTTGAAAAGGCCATAATACATGAAATAATTACCTGAAGATAACCTTAGAAAAGGTTCGGATTACTAAACTCCTAAAATTGAAAAGGCTTCCATCAAGCGAGCAATATGGTTTGTGTTGATCAACAACTTCTCAAGTAATATTATTTTGAGAGATTCTTTCTCATTAACTACTTTCTTCATGACGCTCAATGAATTTCTTTTATCTAGATAAAATATTATCATTTTCTTTTTCATTTGTCAAAACAATAAATTTTTTGACACGCCATTGTCACAAGAAATCACGAACTATATTATTATTTGATGACTAGCTAGATAACATAGTAGCCAATACAAACTTTTTCTTACCATTCAGAATTAACAGGTTTTCGAGCCACTCCTTGGATATCTCGACGTCAGGTTCCTTGTAAAAATTTGGAACATCGTCAGATTCACTAAACACCAGTGCACTTACAAGGATTTCTGTGCAATCCGGTCTCAATACCTCATTTCTGTCCAATGTCGCATGATTAGATGTTATGATAGTTGCCGGAACCTATGATGAATTTGCAAACATTTCCATTGACTGTGCGAGGACAATACCGCTGTTCGCACACGAAAAGCTACTTGTGCTAAAACCGGCAGGGTCTCGACTTTTGGTACGATTTGGGACACCTTGGATTCGGACCAGACGGGTGGAATTGAAAGTTGAAGCAGTTTTACTATAGATATTTTGTAATTATTTATATTTTTTTGGACCTATATCTATTCAAAGTTCAACCAATAAAGTTTTTTATTAATACTTTTCTCAACAGATTTTTCGATATGGAAGAACATACATAATGGTGTTGGTACAAAAACGTACAAATTGGTGTTGGTTACCTGCCCTTGTGGGTCTTGATTTATGCTGGCTACTGTTCGCATTACGTTCTACAACAACTCTGCTAACGTTTTTTTGGTTTTATTTATGTATTTATTTCCAACTTCTATAAAAACTAAAAGGCGGTAGCTTTCGTTTGTTCCCATTGTCTACATAGTTTCTGAACAAATACTAAGATGATGAGCCATTTTCATGGCCGCGCCACCATTGTGAAGATGATGTTTTTGACGCTTCTTGGCTTCTTTTGCCTTGGAGCTTCCGCAGCAGCCAGGTGGCAGACGGGGATTCTTGAATTCTCCGGCCGAGAAGAATTAGCGAACTGGGGTGGATACGGAGAAGAGAAGCTCTCCAGAGTTATAATCAGTGGCAAAATTCTTTGTCAAGCTAATAGACACGACAAAGCTCCATTTCATTCATATTCGGTCTCAGGTTCGTGGATAATTTCAATTTGAAAACACAGTGCATCGACGATTACAAGAGTATTCATAATATAGAATGATGTCTGTCTAAGATTGTATTCAACAGACAAGAAGTATAAGAAAAGGCAACCAGGAAACTTAGTCAACCCTTAGCTGGTTCAGACTTGTCCCATTTTTAATTGGGTTGAGAATTATAAAACTTAATTCTAAACCAGATAGTGGTTATGGGGCTAATCAGCCCTTAACTGTATGAATCATACCGATTATTACTTCTGCAGGTGCGCAGGTGGCTGTTATATGCAATACTAGTGGGAAGACCAGGAAGATATGGGCAAAAGGCACCACAGATGAGTATGGAGAATTCATCATTGAACTTCCTTCTCATCTCCATGCAATTCACAACTTGGAAAAGATATGCCTTGTCAAAGTTTTTCATCTGCCAAAACGTTCTGCTTGCCGGCGAGAGAAACACGAAAACATAGAACTCACGTCAACAGGCGATGGCATACGTAGTTATACTACACATAACATATATTTGATGTCAAAACTCCGAAAAGTGCTCATTAGTGAGGCGGCAAAGTCAGTTGCAATGGTAAATAACCTGTAACATATTCACCCACTGAGTTTCAGGTCTAGTCCTGTTGAATGAAATCGTAAACTGTTTCAGCTGAGAGTCTGTGTGCGTGTTCACAACAAACGACTTGTAAATTTACAGTACATCTTCACTTCTTTAACGGGGAAACCAACGCGGTTAAAACTTGAGACGGATTTTGTGGCATGTTTCATTCAAGAGCAGTTCATTACATAAGAGAAAATGGCACTCGGAAGCATGTTCAGCATGCAACTGAACTACTAAGAAATTAATTAATCCCCAGATACTTTTGATACGATTAGAAACACTTCGAAATTCTCTGATAAGCATCAGAAATGGTACATTTAGCAACATCAGCACAATATTTAAGCTTCTCTACTTCCAAATCAGATATCTCAATGGAAAATTCTTGCTCAAAAGCCATGACAAGTTCCACTCTGCTCAGGCTGTCGAGGCTTAAGCCTTTCCAGAAATCAGTTGTTCTGGCATGCCTGAAATACACGAAATATTATAGTAATCAGTTTACCTCACAAAACGCTCCCAACGCATACGAGTCCATGATATCATTGCTTGAAAATCAGATAAAGAATGATTAAGGATACATGACGAGAACACTTGACTAATTAACTCAGCAGCATTGATCTTGTTAAATTTCTTCACCAGCTTAGCAGCTCGAGCAAAAAACATGATGAAGTAATGATTCTTACATAAGGGGGGAAAAAAAAGAAAAAAATACATAATGAAACTTAATAACTCAAGCAAAAAACAGAAAAATTCTTTCTATTAATTACTTGAAGTTGATTCTTACATATTTAGGAATGGCTACAGGACGGCTGACCCTGCCACCGCCACTGCAAGGATTTTCCCTTGCCCCAGTTATATATATATTTTAAATTTTTAGGGTAATTTATGAACTGGGCTTGGGCATAAAAATGCCGGGCTAAAGTATTTATAAAAAAAAATTCGTTATTTTTTTTTTAAATAACTGTTGGAAAAAAATTAGGTTAAATGGCTAACTTTGATACAAAATTTGAGTGAGACTCGATTGGCTATTTTGAAAGTTAGAGATTGATTTGTGTTCTCCTCTGTGAGAACATCAAAATCATGTATTTACTTGTCAAAAATGATGTTCGGATTAATGATAAATTGAAGCTCAAAATGTGGTAATTAAAAAGAGTTTATGTTATTGGAGGGAAACTATTTAAGGTTTGTTCCACGGGAAAATTATGAAAACAAATGCCACCTTAAATAGGATTGCACTTTTGAATAGTTTGATCATGTGTAACATAAAAGCTCTCTTTATATGCACGCGCAAGGAGGGCAAATCGATTCGAAATAAGCTTTAGACGTGAAAATTGGCCCATTAGAAGAGCTTATGTTTTGCTAATTTTTTTCCTTCAACTGACCATTTAAATTTCAAAACGGTCAAAACTCCTATATTCATTGTCATTATAGGTTAATGGTATTCATGGTGTTGAGCCTATAAATATAACCTGATTTCTAATAATTCTATATAAGAAAAAACAACAGAAAACATACAGTCTCTGCAAATATTCATAAAACACAGTTTCTGCATATTTTAGTTTGCATGGTGCATAGTCACATTGTCGATTATATTGTTTAGACACAAATCCAGTTCGACAGAGTAGTATTTGAGGTGCTCAAATTCTACTGTTCATTCATTGTATCCTGAAAAACAGACGTCCAATTTAATCCTCAAACATCTACGGTGATGAGAGCGAATATGTTTTAAAGAAACTGTGTTCACACAGACCTCGATTAAATTTTTTTATTCTAGTTAATTAGTTTACTTGTTCTGTTTATTAAAATTAATCTGCTTTACTTGGCCAATTAGATTAATTTGTTCAATTTATTGCAATTAAATCTGCTATATTTTGCCAAGTTCACTGCATGTACAGTATATGTAAGATCGGTATATGCAAATACCGTAAGCTGTTGCATATATAGTATGCTATTGTAAATACGATAAGTTGCTTACACGGTGTGCGTAAATCCAATATCTAAATTGTATATACGGTATATGTAAATTCGGAATTCATTCCCAACCATCCCATTTGGTAAATTTAGTCCAACAATAACTAGATAAATGGGAAAGAGGATGGGCTATGTGGGGCGTGGATTTTTCGGGTCAAATTATCACCGCAATACGTATTATCTATGTCGTGCATCTTGAAACTAAATGAGAATAATATTTTCCCAAGTCAAAAAAATAATTAAAGATCTAGCTCAATTGAATTATTTGCAAATAACCAATAACAAATTGAAATATTTCTTACCATCAAAGTCAATTCGTACCCAAAAAGAAAAAAAAAAATCTAAAATCTCCAAGAAAAATTTTAACATCCAAGCAAACATGCAATTATTTTATCATTGGTGGAACCAAAATTGTGCAACTTTTGGTCCCCAATTAGAAAAGACTGCTCAAAATTCTCTTCCTTAGCTGCCATTTTCATTAGCCTCATCATTTTATATGATGATGAAGACATATAACCATCACCCTTTCAATGTCAAGATTCTGTTGCATAAATCATTTCCTCCATCAATAATGTTTTTTAACCCAAACTTTGGTAAAAGGTTAAGTTACATTCATACAGTCCCAAACAACGATTTTTTCCATTAATTCGTATTCTATAACTGTTGTGCAATAGTGGTAGGACTATCAAAATATATAGAATTGAAATGTCTCATGTGCCTTGATACTGTCTGCAGGCTTTAGTAGAGCTTAATGTTTTCTCATATTTTCTTGCTATCTTTCTTGAAAAACGTAAAATTAAAGTTTAAGCCTCCTCTTGGTAAATTTTAAGTATAGATAACTTTCTCTGTCACAATACAAAAATTACGTAATGTTTGTATGTTTTGATTCATGTGAGCTTGTTCATCACGTTATGCATTCTCATCAATGCTTAAGGAGGTATGATTGAATGTTCATACTGCTAGAGCTGTGATTCAAATAGGAGTCTTGAATCGCGTATTGTTGGTGTTGGAAAGAAGTCTTACTACATTCAACAACAAGGTAACAAAATTTTGTTGAAACTGGATCTCCTACTTGCAATATATTTTCTTATCTTTGAGGACTCTTCTAGGGTTTGAAACGCGGCCTTTAAATATAAGACTCCTCTGTTAATTTTGTTTAAGCATTATTGGTGTGTCTGTAATTTCTTTCTATATTGGCAGTTTATAATACATCGTTCTTTTGCGATAAATTCTCTTTGTTTATTTCTTTACTTTTAATCTTGTTTCTTGTTGTGATTTTTATTACTTCATATCGTCATTAAATCTCATTCTTTACAACTCTTTGGGATCAACAAGTGGTATCAAAGCTTGGTTCTTCTTTTGTGGATTGGTTGAGACTTTTCAGAGATGGCTATCAAGTATGACATTCCGTTTTTAGATCACAATACAAGATTTTCTCTATGGTAAGTAAAGATGAAGTTTATTTTGGCGTAGTTGGATTTGGACGATGTGCTGATAGGTTTTGAGAAGATGCCAACTGATTGGATAACAGAAGAGAAACAACGGAGGGATTAGAAGGCTTTATCGCAGATCCATCTTCATTTATCCACCAATATTCTGCAGGATGTCTTGAAGGAGAAAACAGCGATTGCCTTGTGATTGAAATTGAATCAGTTATGCATGATTAAAAGTCTCACAAGCAAACTGGCTCTAAAGTAGAAGTTATATTCTCATCGCATGACGGAAGGAGGGTGACTGGAGGACCATATTGCCGTGTTCAAGAAAGTAGTTGTAGATCTGGAGACGTTGGAGGTTAAGTACGATGAAGATGATCTGATCTTGATCCTGTTGTGTTTGTTGCCTGACTTTTATCCGTCATTTCGGGACACCATTTTGTATAGTCGTGATACTTTGATTATAGACGACGTCTATGATACTTTGCACTCAAATGAGAAGTTGAAGCATTTGGTTGGAGGTATATCAAGGGATGAGGAAGCTCTTGTATCTCAAGGTGGTTGATGAAAGGGCAGATCGAAGAATAACAACAATTTGTTTTGCTTCTACTGTAGACGTAAGGGTTATATTCAGAAAGATTGTGATAAGTCGCAAGCTAAAAGTGATTTAGCTGCAAATTGTAGAGTGTAACCTTTGACTTCAGAAGAAACAAACGTAGTTGAGGATTTTTCAGACTGCGAAAATGTGACCGTGGTATTTGACATGGAATCTAAGCCTGACGAGGAGTGGATTCTTGATTCGGCATATTCGAATCATATGTGTTCTAATTGAAATTTCTTTTAGACATATGAGGTTATTCAGTAAGGTGGAGTTGTAATGGAAAACAACCGGTCTTGTCGTATTGTTGGGATCGATCAAGTCAGATTTAGGCTGCGTTATGGGATAGTCAGAACAATTGGTCAGGTTCGACATGTTCCAAACCTGAAAAGGAATCTCATCCTACTTAGTACTCTAGATGCAAAAAGGTATAAATTCTCTGATGGAGATGGAGTTTTGAAAGTCTGAAAGGGTGTCCGGGTTATACTAGAGAGACGAAAAATATCTCAGTTGTACATCTTGCAGGGAAGCACAGAACCAGTTAAGAGACATATGGACTAAGTTCAGTATCATGGTAGATATTCAGTTTGGTACAATACCTCTTGTAACGGGCTCTGGGTCGGTTCAGCACATTGCTCAAGAGAGCGTTGGTGATTCCACTTTGCCACCAATATCAGTGGTTACACTGTGTTAAGTTGCTAGGATTGGATCCATTGAGTGTAGCTACCATGGTGTCAGTGATGTCTATAATGCTTTTGAGAATGTTAAAGGCGATAGTTCTAGCAAGGGACCCTCTATTCAGGCATTTTGTATGGTTTCTGCTACAAGGTGTGCTTCGACCTTGTTTGGTAAACATTAATTCCTTAGTGAAATTTTGGGAACCTGGGACTAGGGTTTAGGTGTCGCTTGTGGACGCCGTGCAGAGGACAATGGTTTATATGGAGAGTTTTGGTTACTGCGTTGAGAAGATTTACCATTTCATTTCGATGCAAACGGGATTATTTCTCAGGTGTAGAAATTTTGTGGAGCTCCGCTCATTGCACCAGATTTTGA